GTGTGAAATTGTTCTAATAAAAAATAAATTAATTTCTTTATACGTTTTTATATTTTTATTGTTATCATTAAATTTATTAATTAAATTATTATAAAATTAAAATGATAAAATTATAAATACTAATTATTATTATTAATTTATTAATAATTATTTCAACCGTTATGTGTGAAATATGTGAAATTGTTCTTATAAAAATTAAATTAATTTATTAATTTAATTATTATTTTAATAAAATGATTATATTATAAATACTGATTAGAATTATTATTAATTTATAATAAATTGTTATTACGATCATAATAAATAATAAAAACTTTTATTATTATTGTATACTGAAGATAGTCCGAACTATAATTTGTAGACCAAAATATCTGTTATATAAATAATTTTGTATAATTAACGATCTAAGCCCAGTAATAATTATAAAAAACTATTATTAATTTATTAATAATTATTTCAACCGTTATGTGTGAAATATTTGAAATTGTTCTTATAAAAATTAAATTAATTTCTTTATTCATTATTTTTAAATTAATAATAATTTTTTAATTAAATTATTGTTTAATTAAAATGACTAAATTATAAATACTAATTATTATTATTAATAATTATTTCAAAATTAATTTCTTAATAATTTTTAGTGCTTAATAAATGTTCCTCATTTCATAATTTATTTGTACAATAATTAGGAAGAATATATTAATTTTAATTAATTAAAAATGTATATGGCATATATGGGAACTATATAGTGTCATATATCATTTTTCATTATTTTTAATTAGCACTCATTATTCAAAGGAAACGGAATAAATTAGATTAAAAAAAGGGGGAAGTACATCAACAAATGCAAAGTCAAATGTAAAAAATTGTTTTTAATTAACAGAAATTAGTTGCTAAAAATATTTTGATAAACAAAAACACATAATATTTTTTATTTTAAAAAAAAAAAATTAAAAAAGTGAAAATAAACAAAATTTTATTTCAAAAAAAAAAAAAGAAAAATATACATTTATTTTTAAACTTTGCAAAATATTGCCACAGTGACAGAAAAGGGGGCGTTAATGCGAGCGAGGCGTAGAAGAATAGTGAAAAATACCTTTTCGCTGTGAAATATTTGGAAAATTATTTTAAATTTCATTTTCTTAAAGACAATACAAGGCCACAGAAATTTATTGAATTGTCACTTGAAAGGTTTTGGAACTGCTAAGTATTAGAATAAAAACATTTTAAATACACATTTAAAAGTGTATATGAATACAAAAAAAAAAAAATGAATAGAAAAACTAATTCCTAAGCATTTATTGTATTATGCAAGTAATTACTAATTGCTGAATAAAAAGAAAAAATAAAAAAAAATATTTTTAGATATTTTCCACGGTGGAAATGCATTACATAATCACATACGTCATTGTACAAGTAAACCAAAAAA